GTGTTAATTTCCTGCAAAAATTTTGATTCCCTTAATCAAATAATATTCTATGGATTTACTACTGCTGGAAGCCCATTAGCTTCATTTATTTACCAGGCTTTGGCCAAGAAATAACATGTTTTTGTTTGTTTTTTGTTTGTTTGTTTGTTTAAGTATCTGGCAAGGCCATCATGGTCAAATACATGTCCCAGAACCAACTGAACTTGGAAGACATTAAATGTTTCTGGGAGTTTGTACACCAGTATGTTTCATTTTGTTGGTGAGAACCTTGCCAGTTTTAGTAATACAGTACTACACTGAAAATGGACAAGGAAAATGAGCTGGGATGTCACTGATCCCCTTTAAGATTTAAAAAAATGTATTGAAGAGAGAATTATAATCTAACATGCCCTGCAGTAGGTAAAGACACAGCAGAATGTTGGTGCATGCAGTGGAAGCCTAGCAACCCATCCTGGCTGGTTTTAATAAAATTGTCTATAATGCTTTCTAAAATTGAAAAGGCTGGTACACATTCCAAACTGGTTGGGAAGCCCAGACAATGAGTATAAATTAGCCTTAGTCTTGGAAAACTAGTCATACTCACTGCACTATGTTAATAACAGTGTTTACTAAATAGCCACAAAGTATCAGCTCCTCTCTTTAGGTGTGTGTTCCAATCATATCAATTGATCCCGGAATTTCTCTATATATAGATATTGGTAGTTAAAAGGAAGTGAAACATTTGAAGGTATTTAATTGGCATCCTGCGTATAAATTTGTGAATTATGATTTAAACCACATGTTTACTAGGAAGAAAACAAGAAATGGCCAACTGTAATAATAAAAAAATAAAAAAGCTATAGTTTAAGACCAAAGGGGAAGGACAGCTTCCTTCTCTCTAATTCCAAACCAGATGATAATGGCTGATAACAAAAAAAATCTGTATAAATAAAAAGGAGGAAATAATAATAAATAAATCTGTGTAAATAAAAAGAAAGATGTTCCCTACTTTGACCATAACAAACAAATCTCAGAAAGATTATGTAAACTACATAATTACATGGTTAGAAAGAGTCTGAGCCAAGGTTGGAATTAGCCTTATCTTCTATTTGAATCTAAATAATCAAATCTCCTTCTCCTCCCTTTACTTCCCTCCCACTTCCTTCTTTTTCTGGCTCTTGCACTCCGTGGTCTTTCATATGCAGGTTTAGAATATGAAACTCATAGTTAAAAAACACCCTATCACCTTGAGATTTCCACACCTAACATTTGCTTTTATTATTATTTTTTATGCTCATCCATTGGGTTTCTTGTAGCCTCTGTTCTCAGCTAAGAGACATAAGGAACTCTCCAGGGAATTCTCATTCTCAGCAGAAGCCCTATGGAGACACTCCTAGACAATTCAAAAGAACCTTGTATTTTAAGTAGGGAATGTTCTTGCAACACAGCTACCCTCCAGTTTGAGTTCTCAGTTGAAGTATGCTATGTGAGCCCCTTCCTCGTCAGCCGTTGGGGCTCAGGTATGTATGGCAAGCAGAATCTATAGCAAATAGTCAGGAATTCAGAGATGTCTGGGCACACGGAATCAGAGTATACACTAAGTTTTCAGCCCTACATACTTGGTCGATCCGTACATTAGTCAGTCAAGACAGTTTTGAGTGGCAGGTGGACTTAGGAGAAGAGATCTACAGTGGTACTCTAAGCTTTGTCAGGGTGTGTTATTGTGTAAAAGTCATGTTCATCCATTTCATTCCTATCATTTCTCACCCATAAAATTGGAATTGTAATCTCTACCTTTCTTACCTTAAACTGGTATCACAATTTGAATACTAAAGATTTGCTAGCATGTTGAAACACTCAAGAACTATTCTAATATCAAGTTATGGTCATCTTTGGGAGAAATTGTACAGATCATTTGAAAATAGACATTAAAACCAGTAAGCACCTTTGCATGTAATTATGTGGAAAATAAAAGTCACAGAGAATCAGAATGTCAACAGGATCATAGCTTAGTCCATATTTTAGTCTCTGTCATACACCCTAGGGTGATATACCTTTTTTCTAATAAGTCAGAGACAATCAGAGGATTTTAGGGCATATCATACAGTCTAGTGGAAGAATTACCTGACTTCTCTGATCTACTGATCTGGAGCTGTATAACACTGAGAAGGAAATGTGGACCAGTTGCACTGAAAATTACTCAGTTAATTTCCCATTGCATTTCATCTCTTCATGCATTTATTTATACGTGTATTCAGCAAATTTTATTAGGTTTAGATCCATGCCAGGGTTCTGAGCTTTAGTGATGCAACTGATTAATCTCTCTGGTGCTGTCCATACCTTGCTTTAATACTTTTGTTTCCCTCATAATTTTCACATTTATCTCTTCATATAACACCCAAGAAATATATTTGGAAAGTGAGATAGTAGCTGTAAGAGAACACTGGATGAAAATTTTCACTCAACAGACATAATGACCCTTGCTCATCTGAAAATATAGGGCTGACATAGATAACTGCTTAATTTTTTTTTCTATTTGTCAGTCAGTGAAATGGCTCAGAGTAAGATGGTTGGAAACCCTAAGTTCTGGCTGAAAATTCACAGATACTTAAACTTCTGTTTGCAAGTTCTCTTAATGTATAGGAATTTTCCTATGTTTATTGCTTTCCTTTGAAAATTCTATGGCCATTCTTTCTCAGTTAATGTTCCCAGCCTCAGAACAAGCTTATCCATGGCTTTAACCTCCATGGATGCTCTACAAATCTATGATATTCACTTTCTTGTTCTCTGCTCATCTCCTTTCCAAGTATCCAGTTCTTACCCTCATTCTTCAACTTCCTTTGCTATTCCTTTTGCTATTTGTATCTTTTTCTTGGTTTTCTTTTGGAACCCAGAACCAAGAAGAAGAGTTATATGTTCAAATCAGTCATTATATTATTATTTTCATTCTAATTATGAGTATTTTCATTCTAAGTATGAATACTTCATACAGACTCCCTCTTGCTTTATCCTTAACCTTTCAATGACTAATTTAATGAGAACATGGAAATCTTTTGAAAGAATATCCTCAATTCCTATCTTTTTTCTCTTTTAATAACCAAGATAGTGTCCTCCATCTGTAGATTTTCTTAGAGTAAAATTATACTAATATAGACCTTTTACTTATTCCTTCTCACGAACCTGTAATTTAAGTCCACAAGTTTTTTTCAGTATACTAGAGCATTCTCTAAAAAAATCACCAATAACTTCACCACTATAAATACAATATCTTTTTAAAAGCATTACTTTGCTTCATCATTTTCATAGTCAACAATGGTAATTTGATTTTATTGACATAAATTCCTTGTCACTTTCTTTTTCTTATTCACCACTTTCTGTCTCTTTTTTAATTGTAATAATTTGCTTTATCTTCATGTAAACTATTTCCAGTGTTGTGATCTAACCTCATGTTCTCTTTTGTATGCTGCCTTTCTTAATTTTCTCAATGTTCATGGCAGATGTCCTTTAACTCAAGCTCTCACTCAAACCAAAGATCCATACATAAAGTCATAATAATATGCTCTAGTCAACCTGTTCTTCCTATTGCTATCCATCTTCATTGATTTAATGTTATTCATAAAATAGAAATAGCTGTCCACAGACTTGTCATTGATAAGTAACTCACTGAGATTTTAAATATATTTTTAATTGGATAACTGTTGAGACAGAAAATTGGCTATGTAATACAAATAAAAATATGATGTAAAAACAATAATGTAGACTCTATCATCAAGGCTAAAATTTCATCCTCACCCCTTATTAGCTCTGTAACCATGCCCAGGTGACCTTTCCTCTCTATACCACAATTTCCTCACCTATGCTATGTTCCTAGGAATAGAGCCGATCTAATAGCATTGGTATGAGTTGAATGACATAGTACATATTAGACATTTAGAAAAATAACAGGTGGATAAATACATTTAACAAATATTAACTTTTTTTATCCATGTGATAAATAACATAGTAATCACACCACACTTGTACACTTAGAACACAATAGAGCATTTTGCCCCTGAAAGTTTTGAAGGCAGAGCAAAGCACAACCCAGTTCAGATGTTAAAGGAACCCATACCTGGATCTCATAGCAATCTAAGTCGCAGAGGCATAGCTCATGCTGAATTGCCTTCCATCTTAGTTTCCTGATTCCAGGTTGTAGATTAGGGGCTTTTCCCAGTTGTTTATTATTGCTCTTATTCCTGTGCCTCAGATTTGACCCATGCCTCTTCAACATTCTCATCCTTACATGACAGTCTTGTTTATCTTCTCTGATATTGTAGAACCACTTCTCTCCTGGTGTTTTCTAGGACTAAGCTCGAAAGCCCACTTTCCTCAATCATGTTTTCTAGAGGCTGTTTCTTCTGGTACTCAGTTCCAGGCTTCTGATTTGTACACCACCATTTGCCTCCTCACTTACCAAGAGCTGTTGTGTAGATTGAAATGTGGGAGTCTTGTTGCAATCTCTAAGTTCAAGGGGCTCAGCTAAATATTTTCTGTGATCTCGCCTGTGCCATAGGCACCATGGAATGAAAGAAAGTACATAGGCAAATTATAAATGTATTTGAAGGCACTGCCTATACTCCTGATTCTAGCAGGCAATAATGCAAAGCAATGTGTAGTATCAATTCCTTACATACGTAATATATGCTCTGAGTGCTTTAGTTATTAAATTGGTTACTTTTTTGGGGTGGGAAATATGTGAAAAAATGGCCATGTAGTGATCTCAATAATCCTCTGAGAAGTCAACACAGGTAGACATAACACCCTAAGGCTAAATCTCCCAGCATTTTCAGGTTATAATTCACTACGAAAGACCTCTCCAAGACCCTCCTGCAGAGCTAATGGATCAGGTCCCTCTACTTTCTCCCCTGTTATCTGCAGATCTGAAGCTCACTAGTCTCAGCTAAGTTTAGAGAATTCAGCCCCATCACTCTTCTGGAATCTCATTCTATATCACAGGTTGGTGAGACCAAGACTGCAAAGCCATGGCCATCCCTTATAACAGCAGTCTCCAAAAAGCTACATTCTTTCTGACTGGGTTTCAAGGTCTAGAAAATCTCTATGGCTGGATCTCTATTCCTTTCTGCTCCATCTACTCGACAGTTATTTTTGGGAACCTTACCATCCTGCATGTCATCCGCACTGATGCCAACCTCCATGAGCCCATGTACTATTTCTTGGCCATGCTCGCCCTCACAGACCTGGGCCTTTGCCTTTCCACACTGCCCACTGTGTTGGGCATCTTCTGGTTCAATGCCAGAGAGATTGGCATTCCTGCTTGCTTCACTCAGCTCTTCTTCATCCATTCCTTGTCTCTGGTAGAGTCTTCAGTTCTGCTATCCATGTCCATCGACCGCTATGTGGCCATTTGCAACCCGCTGCGTTACTCCACCATCCTGACACCTGCGCGCATCATAAAGATGGGACTAAGCTCCGTGCTCAGAAGTGTCCTCCTCATCCTCCCCTTGCCATTCCTCCTTAAGCGCTTCCAGTACTGCCGCTCCCACATGCTGGCCCATGCCTACTGTCTGCACCTAGAGATCATGAAGCTGGCCTGCTCTAGCATCATTGTCAATCACGTCTATGGGCTCTTTGTTGTGGCCTGCACCGTGGGGGTGGACTCCCTGCTCATCTTCCTCTCCTATGCCCTTATCCTGCGCACCGTGCTGAGTATTGCCTCCCGCCAGGAGCGTCTCAGGGCCCTCAACACCTGTGTCTCCCACATCTGGGCTGTGCTGCTCTTCTATATCCCCATGATTGGCTTGTCCCTTGTGCACCGCTTTGGTGAGCATCTGCCACATACTGTGCACCTCCTGATGTCTTACGTGTACCTGCTGGTACCACCGCTGATGAACCCCATTGTCTACAGCATCAAGACCAAGCAAATCCGCCAAAGGATTGCCAAGAAATTTAAATTTATAAAGTCACTTAGTTGTTTTCAGCAGGATTAGGTTGGCAAAAAAGGAGGAAGGTTAAGACATGAAACACACTCCCTTTTAAAATTTTTCTTCCAGTGGTAGCTATGCTGTGGAAAAATATCATGCTCCCGTTTATGAACATAAAGTAATCAGCAAATGAAGAGAGAGTGTGAAAGAAATTATAATACCTTCCTTTCTCAAAGACAGGTTGTGGAGATTAAATAAGACAATCATATAAATCCCTACCACAGTGCCTGAGGAATATGCAATTCTCAACACAAAGTGAAGATTATTATTTGAGAAAATCTTAACAAGTACACATTTCGTCTTTCTCTAGTCAGTAATTTAGCTGATGATTGCTCTTTTCCTATTTTATGTTTTAGTTTATATTGTGCCTTTATTATAATTGTAAGTTTTATTTGTGTGTAACACTCTTTGCATATATTCATACCCGCATCCCAGGTATTACCTTCTCATGAGGCTGCTTGCTAATTACAAAATCTGAGAAAATTAAGAACAGAAGAGAAGCAAATGTCCTGAGGCTTTGAAGAAATATATCAAACTGAAACAATATGAACAATATTCATTCATAATCTACAAAAAAGATAACTTAGACTGAGGGTTATTACTCACCAATTCAGTAGATAATCAAGGGACTTGGTTTCTTCCTTACACACACACACACACACACACACACACACACATGTCATGGGTGGAAAAGTAGAAAAATATGCCTATTTTGTTTACTTTGCAAGATGCTTTGTTCCTCTCTGCATTTTGTCCCATAAGACAACTGATGCACACACACACAGTACTGTTGTTCTTCCTTGTTTTTTTAATATTCCTATGCATCTATGTTTGTGTTACAAACTTGTTTGTGTCAGTTTGTATGTCCCATTTGGTTAGTGCGGAGGATTAGCTAATGATATACCAGGAATGGTCAGTTGAACTGAATCAGCATGGTCTGGGTGTGAAAGACCCACCCGAGTACTGTTTCCCATGTCATAAAAAGAGAACTGAAGGGGAAGATCATTGGCTGTTGGTGTTCTTGGAGAAGCTTGCCATAGGTCATTTTCCTGATGTAAATGCCGCTGCTCTCATTGGAGGAGATTGGGTACTCACCATCACTGGGAATGGCAGCTGGTCTCATCAGGGAACACTGATCTTGACCATGAACGTCATTTCCTGGCTCCGGTGCAGATCCCCCAGCCTGGTGTCACAAATCCTTCATCCTGCAGGTTCAGGCTTTCTAGTCTTCACCACTGACCTTTGGGCCTTCCTGGTGTAGATTCTGGATACAGACAAACATAAGATTTCGCCATGGGCTCTCGGCCACTAGCTGAACTGGTAGAGGACATTGCCTTGGACTTTAAATCTTCAGCTGGACTTATGTGGGAGACATTGCTGTGGGATCGCTGTGGGACCCAAGCCCTTGGCTAGATTCTTCAGGTCTCTAGTGTGTGGCTAGATCTCTCGCACTCCTCTTCATTTGACTTTTTGGGTAAATATTATAAAATAATCATATAAATTATATGTCCTGTATTGAATCTATTCCTTCCAAACCCTGACTACAACAGCTAATTTGTGTAAATTCATTTCTGTCCATTATCACGTATGTGTAGATACATAAAGGAGTGAAATCTATCACTTTATATACTCATGTAGGTAAATGTGTCCTCTAGGACTTTCGCTGGAATCATGAGAAGGAGCAAGTTTTGGTTCAGTAATTTCTCTCTTTTCTATTTACCTTGGCCTAACTCCAGACACCAGAACAAAGCCATTGTAAGAGAAACACTAAGATGTAAAATTTTAATGTGAAGAAGAAACAAATAGAACTAGAAAAGCTACAAGAATGTTGACTACAGCAAAGCATCAGATATCGGACTTTCCCGGTAAGGAAGGCAACAATAAAGACAAGTATAAAATTATTTTTGCATAATTTTACATAGGCACATATGGGTACCTACAAATGTACCCACATATTTATACACTGACTCACATAATTCAAATATGTAAACATGAAATACACATTCTAATGGAATTCTACCCTTCGTTAGCACTCTGGCTGACTTCTGCTTTAATCTTCATGCGATTATTCCAGATACTCTCTTCACTCATCTCTTCTTTATCCACATTTCCCTCTTCTTAGCGTCTTCAGTTCTTCTCATTACGTCCTTCTACCACCCTTTAAGATACTCTTCACTCTTCATTGTTTCCAGAGACTCACAGGCAGAACTGTGTGTGACCATGAGCCTGACACTGATCCCATCCCTCCCTGTTCTTCGAAGATAATTCCTTTACTGCAGGCAGAGCTCTCTGACCTATCCCTCTATCTACACAAAGAACACATGAATGTGGTCTGCTCTGGTATAGCTGTCAACTCCATACACAGCCCCGTAGCACTTTCTGCATGTTGAGGAATGGACAGAACCCTCACCCTCACTTCTCACATTCTGTATACAGTGGTCGGCCCGGCATTGTCAGGTGTTCTTACTTGTGCGTAGCTCTTGTGGTTCCTAGAGATTTTCACTGGAGAATCATTTCATATTCCATGAATGATTTGACTTATTATTACCTTCACTACAGCACGTGCTACTCTATTTTCAACTTTAAGTATTGTTTTGTTTATATGCATGCATGAAAATGGCTATGCTATCATATTTATACATATGCTGATATTGGAAACAATTCAATGATGAGCTATGTTTAAACTTTTTTTTTTTTTTGGTACCAGAAATAGAACATGGGTCCCTGTGCTTGCAAGGCAGGTGGTAGAACCACTGAGCTAAATCCCCGGCCCTGTTTTAACTTTATAAAGAACACACACACACACACACACACACACACACACACACACACACACA